AGGACACGTTTTGGGGGTTAAACATCAGTGACTTCTGACTAGCGGTCTTATCTGGTAGTATTGCGCTCACAAACAAGTGTGGTTGAGTCATGGTGAAACAAGGACAGCGTTAAGTGCTATCTACCAACACATACTTGTTACATGCACTCCTCATCACTGTCCAAACAACTCCAGTTCACCATCTCCAGTATAACGTGGGCGATTGCAATTCCAACATGTGATCGTCCTTTTCGGTGCCCAAAAGTAGATCATTCAGGCTTGTTTACTGAGTTGTCTACGGATAAATTACTGCAGCAATAAACCTCGACCAATGCATGGACGACTTTGTCGAAACAATGGTAAGGTTAAACCAAAAGCGTACCCTCTGTACATTGTTTGTTACTATCCAAATAAAATCGAACACCAGTAATGTCCCCGGTATAACTGTACTGGCCAATTAATGATCTAATAATATACAGGGTATCCTACCTACTGGAATTTGTTCGTAATTTGTCGAAGAACTTTTTCATTTATTGTAATCGTGGATTGGTTTTATGAATGTGAAAGTCTTTGTATCGTCGATTCATCTTCTGTTCATATCATAGTTGACCTTGAGCCGTTTTGTCTTGATTTTGATTGCCGTTTCCTTCCCCTACCGTGATTTGTTTGACATATAGTCTGGATTCGGAACAATACGGAATACACAATGAAGCAAGACGAGAAATGACGAGGCTAGACGCCGGATCACAGGCTATCGGGATTGTATCGTAGCTCAGGTGCTTGGCATGTGGAACATGTGTCACGCATGTCTTTGCATTAAGTTCTTCAACATATGACAGTCACCAAAGTCGTTTGCGATTCAACAGAGAGAGTGAGGTTCTTAATAGGATCAGACAAGAACTTACGAAATCCTGATCAGTGAACGGCGTGATTAAATCGTGTTAGCCTTCCCGAACGAAGGCATAGGACCCATCATCCCACACTGGTGTGGCTGTTCACATTCCCTACATGTGGTTACTTCTCACATTGACCGCGCTTTCCATTTCACGGATATACAAAACAGAGTGGGGAGGAAAACAACAACAACAACAACAAAAATCATGACAAAATCGCTACCAAACAAGTATTTTGTGGTTGTCTGAACCAAACTGACCTGTTAGAGAGATAGACTGAGTGATTTACATACACGGTCCGCAGACATGCGTACCATGGGAAAATGTATATCGGCATTCGCTTTTGTTATGAATCACTTATGTGGTTTTGGAATGCAATTCCAACTGTCTGCCAATCCGGACGACTGGTCATTACGGAGAGTATGTGGTCTGCATTTATTTTGGGGTGGAAGTAAACAAACGGTCTGAACAACAGAGTTCAGACACCTCACACAATCCACAATTACCGCCTGTCCCCGTTGAGAATCATCCTTTTGCTCACCTGTGACGGGTTTATTTGATCTCGCGGAACAACGTCTGAGTCCCAAAGTACAAACTAGGTTCTGCCTGGTTATATTATATGCAATCCCACCTAACCCCATATCGTCTTGGGGTTGTCTGTTCTTGGAATGGATGCTCATAAAGTATCATTTTTACAATACGAAAACAGGTTATAGTAAGATTATAGGGGTGCTTCTCGCTGGTAGCGTGCTAAAGCCGCGGTAAAATTAAGGCCAGTCCCCATCACAATAAAACTGTTTTTCCAGTCATAGTTTTTGCACAACAGAGGGGCTGATTTAGATCAATTTGACAGAAACTTATACTAACAGGTCGGTACTTTTCGGTAGGAATAACAGACTACTTAAAGTGACTATTTCTCACTTTTGTGGCAACGTGCTTCATCTTTCTTACAATATGTGACTACCGTATACGAAAATAACACCCAATTGTGATAAAAGAGGGAGGGGGGGGGAAGCGCATTGAAAAACACTAGATGTTTTTTCATTTCTCCCTTTTCTCATTCTTTTACACTGCCCTGCAGCCGATACTCCAACGGCAAACGGTGAACACTATTGGACACCTGATCCTCCAGCATCTCCCTCCAGTGGTTCTGTTCCGGTCCCATCTTCCCCGACTTCTTTGTCCAATCCGATCCCCGTTACTGTAGATGTGTTACCAACCGGTTTCTCTGGTCGGTCAACGTCCAAATCCAATTCTGCACAATCTCCCGTTCGTGACAGTGCTCTGGGGAACACATGCGAGTCACATCCATCTCGAACGCGGTTGGAAAGCCTAAATGATGTGGATTGAACGTGGGAATGCTGTATTCTCAATTCCGTTCATCATCTCCGAATCATGCGTTTTGGCGATGATTCTTTCGACCGCGGTCCTATTCTCCCCGCGACCCTATTCCTGGTGTTTTATTGTTAGCTGTTCCCATCGCTGTACCCACCTGTTCTTATTGTCTCCCTTTCGTATTTTGTAAAGATAAGATGACCGGATGGTTCAGGCTATTGCACGATGCCCTTCTAACAATGTTTCATATTGATTAGTTGTTTTTATTTTGTTTTTATTATTTTTTTCGTTTTACATCTCCTGTCTGAGGTTTCTGACCGATATTAGTTCTTTTTTAATCAGACAATCCGGATGAATACGTGCAGCTCCAGTTAAATCATCTACAGACCTACGTCAGTCCATTTCATTTTCCGGAAATAAAGTGCGCCCTTCCATCTAGCCCGTTCACTGTTCACTTGTCACAAGTAGTCGATCTCTTCACTGGGCTGTTTTGGCGTATCACCCGCTCAATATTCACTTGAATTACTTTTATTGCTATCATTACGATTATTATTACAACCATTATCATTTATTAATACTATCTTTATTATTATTATTATTATTATTATCGGACTCTGTCGGAATGTGTACTGTCATTTTTGTGCATTTCTCAGTGCACTACTCTTCTGTTGTCTTATGCTGAGCCCGATCCCCTTGAGGTTCTTCTTCTGCTTCTGCTTCTTTCCTCCCCCCTCGCCTCATTCTTTTTCTCACCTTGTCTTGCACGCGATCCACACGCCGAACAATTCGTGTGTGTGNGTGTGTGTGTGTGTGTGTGTGTGTGTGTGTAGGTGCGCGTGAAGAAGGATAAACTAGGGTTCTGTTCTAGTCCCTCTCTTGTTTCCAGTTTCCTTCATTCGATGCTCATTTACATGGTTAATTTGTCTTCTTCATTCCTTACTATTTTCCTGCCTTTGCTTTCTTTTCTCGCCCGTTGTTTGCGGTTCGTTTGTTGACCTGTTTTGCTTTATCGAATTGCTTTGCACAATTCATATTTGCATTGATACTATTGAAATGAATATTACAATTACTGCTCATGTGATTGATTTGTGTGTATCTGTTGGTGGTGGTGGTGTTGGTGGTGAGGGGAGGAGAATCATATTTGTACTCGCCCCTTCCAAGTCCGCATTCATTCCACTCATCTCTGGAAGGACGTTGGTAAACCGTTCTCATTTTTCATCCCTGTTGGTATTCAGGAACAGCCTTGCTGTCATCCGGTTCAATACCGCAACCAGCCTATCGGGGCCGTTGTGGTTTGCCACTCGGGGCTTGGGTTGCCGGCTTCCGTCACTGAACAGCAGGCCCTCATGACTATGGGGTCTACCCCGTCTACTGTTCATCACTCTGAGGTGTGTAATAAAAGAACATGTACGAGGTAGATCGGGATACCCGAAGCTCTTGATCCAACGCGCTTCGTATTCGGTTACCTTGGCTGATACTTGCAACTTGTCCAAATTGAGTGCATCTGAAAGTTTCAGTATCGTCATTACCTTCAATCGTCACCTCGCGAAACGCTCCCATACCACGGATCTCAACTGTCCTCTACTGAGGAAGCCCCCCACTCGTGGTCTTCACGCTGGTTTTCCACAGTAGTGGAAAAACTAAAAGCTGATATCTGGAACTAACCGAATTTGTGAACTTACCAGCATTTAATCTACGGTTGTTTGCGAAAACCACGGATTGCAGCGATCACCGATATGACTGGGCATTTAGTTGCATTGTTTGTCTTGCACGTCCAAAAACCATTTGACCCGTGTAATGAGCACCGGCTCCGAACGGTTGGCGAACGCCAAACTGACTTTCTGTTGGTGGGGACACCAAAATGATCTCCCTTTTTGGCCAGGGGGTTCTGATTTCCATGTAATAGGTAACATGTTATGTATATATATATCTTCTATATCAGGAAAAACAATTCCCACTATCGTTGCATAACAAAATGGACTACTTCTAATGGTTAAGTAGTTACTGTTATTTTGTGAAATTCATCGTGTGGTCACTTCACCACCCTTGATTGCTTGACATGCTTCACCGAAGTATGAAATCTGAGTTGTAGCCATATTTGAAGTTGGACGTTTTGGGAGCTGATCCGGTTTTGTCCCAGCGGGCTTTTTTTGTCTCTGAGTATTTTTCCCGATCAACTGAAATCACCCACATTGGTACTTGTTGATCGAACACCTCAAAATAAAGTGTCGAACCACACTTTAAGACTTTGGAACAAAGTAAACTGTGATAACCATATAAGCCGAAAGATTTCGTTTCCAATCTGTCTTTGCACGTTTCACCGTTCATCCCGAGATTTAAAGCTATTGCGTTCAACTCTTCATCGTTTCTGTTTGTTCACAATGGTCTAGCTGCACCTTTCGCTGGAGGTCATTTCTACCCCCGAAACATGTGGATCCCAATATCCCATGCTCCATTGGCAGCGGATGAATAAAGCAACTGATAGATATGGATAACTCTTCAAAGTTGATGTTAGCCTCTCAACCGACGAGAAAACTTGGAGTTTGTATCTTTGCATGCTCTCATTTACGTTTACTTGCCTTTGAATGCATACGTAGTTGCACAGTTCATTTTTCGGAGAGTGAAAATGATTGATCAAAAGACTGTCATGAGGGCCAAAGAAATGAGGACAATTAGGCGTCGGTGGTCAGGATGTTGGTCTAATTGGTGCAAAAGCCTTCGTCTTTTTCGATTGCTCCCGTTCGATGTGGGGAGTTGAGCGCAAAGATTATGCACGCTAAGATTCTTTTTTTTCACTGTCGACCTTACTGCTTTATATCGGCTTCTTACTCATGCATTTGCAAGCACAGAAACAAGTACCTTTGACTTCTAAAGAGACCCGTCGTTCCTTTATTCTGTTCTACCTTGTTTTAAAAAATTCCACCGTAGCGTGCTCCAGGCTGAATAGTCAACTTTTTCGTCTGATTGACTTCATGCATGCGTGTCAACTTGGTCTTGCTTACCGAATTAGGTTCACTTTAGTGCAGGCCAACTGACTCATGACCTGAACTTCCCCATGACATTCTTTTGGTTTCTAAATCACAGGTCGTATATATGGGTTTCTGCAATAGGCTCAATCCGATTGACCAGAATGACCATCGGTGGCTGAGACACGCGGCACATCCCTCTTGTGACTTGAAGCGCCTGACCTTAGCGCATCCTGGAATGTGAGGACGCATTGGCGACCGGCACAGATGTCAGTTAATCTCAGTGAACGGGTAAACCGTACTGTCACACTAATGACACCTCAAGTCTGTTCGCGTGTTTGTATGGTTGTTTCGTGTCTCCTCTTGATCGGTTTTTAATCCATCTTTTTAGTCAACTTCTATGGTTCACCGACCCGGATATAATTCCAGAAGATTGCTTTTAGTCTTCTCACTTTGGTGGTTAAAGCCAACTTTACCAGGTGAACGCAGTCAGTGCTATTCGTGACGTTCGTCTTTATATTTTGCGGGTTCCAAGGAAAGTTTGCTCTGTTACAACCCCCTGCCGTGCTGAGGCGTCCTCGGGCGTAAACGATGATTGGTACCGTAAGTTATTCTGGGTGATCATCCATCGTCATAATTCCTCTTATTGGGGTCACATAAACCCAGTACGGGGCGTCCGATTGAGACCGGTTCAACGTCACTGTCCGATGTTGTAGACGGGAGAGGTCAAAGGTCAACCTCATATCTAAGAGATCTATTTGTTGCATGTGATAAGATCGAGATCGGCGGAACTGAAGCATCCAAGTTATTTGGATTGGTTTGACCTTTCAACAATTTTGTCATTGATTAGATTATTGAGGTCGGGTGATAACTCGGTACACGTAGCAGTCCTCTGATAATTCGGGAAGAGAAGGTCAACATATTTACAGAGACTTAACTAAGAATTCACACACTGTCAGACCATTCAGTAATAGATTTTATGATTGACTGAAAAGGCTCCCGCATGTGTTTTTGTGGAATGTTTCGTCAGCTACCCAAGCGTGTGTAAGTAAAAACCGATACGACAGGTGCTAACTTTTATTATAAAGGGCAATTTGAGCGTGGGATAAGATGGTGGAAGACCCGATTCCACTGAGATACGCGAAATGGCGTCGGACAGTGAAATAATAATCACGAATCCAGTAGAACATATTGGGTAGTAAGTTTTGTTGCTATAGTACAGTGAATAAAATAGCTATATGTGGATTCAATTGGACACATTTTGGTGGTTCGAAAAACAAACGTGGATACCCACATTGTGCTTAAAAACAGCATGGAATGAGAGATCAAAAGATCTTTCCAGAATGTGATTTATGAATGGGGTTAGAATGTCCATGTGGTGATCGTGCAATGAGATCGGACGGCGGTACGTACACATCGCTTTCAGGTAGCCAACCAGGAGGCGGAGAATCGGACTCAGCTTGTGAGCTTGATTGTTTTGCAATCTGATTGGTTGAATGCCGGAAAGGTAACAAACAGACCAAATATATGCCGGTCTGACGACGAATAGTTGACCAACGACATTTGTCTTCTTTCTGTATTGATGAGATGGATTAAAAGGGACTGAATGCTCCAGTGATTGATTACCAATTATAGTGTTTATTTGCATGCATTTCCGAATATAGTTAACTGTAATCGTAATTCCGTTCATTGGGTTTTTAGTTCGAGCCTCCGCTATTGGCTTACTATCACTGTTTCGAGTTGTACAGTCCATCAACCATCTAAGCAGTTTGGGATATGGCGAATTTTGCATACGTAAAATTGATCTGAGAGAGGTCCCAGACTACGGACTTTATTCGAACCTCTCATTTGTGGTTTTCATGTCCCCATTAGCTTCTAATTGGCTTCATAAATATAGTCGTGTGGTATCAAAACCTCTATTTGTGATACGGTCTTCGGCAGAGTGGTTGTTCTATGATGTCCTGTCTACTTAAACCTTATTGCCCTTCATTATCATTTTCTTCCTCTTAGTCATGTAACCGTCCCTGGTTATGATCCTGGTACTGGACC